TTTTAATTTGTGCTGTTGACGAGATTGAATGTGAGACGAGTGGCATAACTTTGAGTTGAGGTCGACATGTTATCTTTGTGCTTTTTGTACATTAGGCAGACTGTTTCTAAAATAAAGAGGCAGTATACTGTTAAGATGTGATGCGTTAAAAAAGGAGCTTACAGGAATCTTGGACTCTAGCTCTGGTAATGAATCTCACTGCTCTTTTTTGTATTGTGAAAACTTGACTCATTAAGTTTTGAAGTATTGGAGTTTTTACTATCATGTCCAAGAACATGAATTTGAAGTGAAAACTTGGTACCCTGGTCTAGTTTGCTCACCAAAAGATGAAGAAACAACTATTTCAGGAACTCACTTTCTTTATTGAACACTAGTAAAGTTATACTTTTTTTCCATGACCCTTGTCAGCCCCATTAACTCCCCCCTTTTTTTATACATCAAATTTGTTCAAATCTATTAGTATTCCAGCAAACTACATCATAACTGTTTATATAACTTGATGACGCAGTTTGACCAGTGTTGTTACCCCCCGAAAAGTAAATGGTAATAAGTTATGTCAAAAAAGTCACATTTGACAGACAATCGTAACTTTTGGAAGAGTCACACACAAAGCACAGCATTTCGCGCCAAACAACACTAGCTGATTCATCTTCAATACGTCAAATGTCAGTGTTGATACGTCAAATGTCATTTCAATGTTCTTCAAAATGTGAAAAAATGGGTAAAAACATAACTTGAACAGTAAAAAACAATGTGATAAATCATGGAATTATAAAACAACAAAAATTAATTGGTGCTCCTGGGCGACTTCATTTATTCCAGTGGCGCATTTGCGTTTTCAGCTACAGGAAAACCTGCAGCACCACATCATCTGAAGATCTTGATCTGCCAATATCCTCTCTCTCGTAAAATAAAGTGTAGGGTGTGTCCAGAGACTCCAATAAATTCATTACATTACCAGAACACTTAGTGACACGACTATCGTCAAACTTAAACCAAGCCGTTTCGTCTTTGACCAAGGCGTAATAATAACCAGATTCAACGCCAGAATCACAGTGAACAATGACTGCATGAAGATTAGAATAGTGATCTGCTAGATTGAAGTGTTCATCTATTTCGAACTTTCTTAACAGTTTGGTGCTTCCGTCAGAGGTTGAGTCATGTTTGAAGATAATCAGTGTTATTATTAGATTGACTGGTGCCTCAGCTATACTTGTTTTCTTCTAACAGTAAGTTAGTTTGGCGCATGTTTGGCAATACAGTCGATCATCACCTGTTAGAAGTTCCATTTTCAGATGATTTAACAATAAGCTTTGCACGGACTGGTTATTAGTCATATAAGGAAACGCTAGTTGTATTCTACAAGAACCCCAAGAATTCGGAACAATCCTCTTGTTGTCCTAACTTGATAATTTTTAATACCAAAAGTACCGCCAGGAACAACACTGAGTTTAAAGAAATGTTTCGTTGGCTGAATTGAAGAAGGCTGAATTGATGAGTTGTTTTCATGATATTGCCAACAAATAAGAAAACAAAGGAACGAACAGCAAGTATGGAACTCCAATTTTCTGTGGCTTCAGCGCGTATTCTTCCTGCACGGTCTTGACCGAAGAATCATCGTACTATAGCCAGCAGTTGTAGCCGTCGTGGGAGGCATCGGCCACACAGTGCCCAACTTTGGCATCTAAGGCGTTGTGGTAAATGACGGCGAAGAGCTTACATTGCTTCTTTGTTGAAGACTGTGTTTGCGACGATATCAATATCGAATCAATTTTCAAGACGAATCCAAACGCCAAACCCTTGATAAACTTCGTGCAACCGTCGCAACTATATTCGAAAAACAGATACAATATGCGGATAGCTGAAAGTTGGCTGAGCAAAGTGCAGAGAAAAGTGTTTTCATATAATACAGCGTTCATATTTTGGCAAGAATAACATAACACTTTCACAAATACCTTTCAACTTACCATCAGTGCTACAGGTAGAATAACGTTCCAAGTGAATGAAAGCAATGCTGGCGCCCATGACAAAAAGCATGGATGGTTATTTTGATAAAAAAGCGCTGTTACCACAGTATCTCCACTGTAAGGTCTTCCTCGTACCATGAATACAGCCAATATTTGCAAAAGGATGACTATCACCAGCCACCATATTCCTCCAATGGTGTAATCAAAAAAGTACACGACGTAGATTCCCATCTGAAAATTCAATTATTATATTAGTGGCTCCATAGAAAGAGCAATCTCTATGTAGCGTTCTGCAACATAGAACATGGATGATTCAAGAAATACTACATTGTGAGATTTCTAAATTGGTAGAAACATGGTGTAAGGAACACTCACTGTCGATCAATACCAAGAAGACTTAAATGGTCCTTCTCTCCAGAAAAAGAAGTTTATCGGACTTAAAACCTTCCGAAATATTCAAAAGAAAACTAAACTTCTCTGAAGAGGTGAAATACTTTGGTACTATCCTCGACAGGAAGCTAACATGGAACTCTCATCTACAGAGTAGAACAAAAAAGCATATGTGGCTTATGAGCCACAAACCAAAGAGCTCAGGATGTGGAGGGTACTCCAGATCACTAAGCCTAAGGATAAAGTGGGGAATGGAAAAAAATACCAGCGTGGTCCAAACAGAACTGACTGGTATCTCAATCACCACAAAAGAAATAATCAGGAAAGGAATTTCTGGCAAAAACATAACAATCTTCACTGATAGCAGACAAGCTCTATTAGCCTTGAATAGACAACGTGTTGCCTCAAAGCTAGTACTAGAGTGCCAGCAAGATTTAGCCAAAGCCTCGGTAGATAATAACAATATCCTGAGGTGGGTTAAAGGACACAACAGGAGTAAAGGTAATCGCATTGCCGACTTTTCAGCCAAGGAAGCGGCTGGACTAAGAATTCCATGACCCAGTGACACCTACGGCCTGATGACTTCGACAATTGCGGAACCAGCCAAACGTCACACCCATGCTCAATCTATAAAGAGATGGGATGAAATCAACGAATACAATATTGCCAGGATCACCCTGGGCGACCCTCGGAAGCTGGGGCCGAAGAAATATCTGGCGATGACCAGGAAATATCTACGCTCAATAGTAAGATTTCTGACTAAGGAAACACCTCCACAATATGGGGCTAGTGGAGATGTCTCCCAGAGACCTGTTCACCTTCCTGGAAAGGACAGGATGGACGATGACCTAGGAGGACAACTCCTCGGGAGGATGTACAATGGGTTACATGTGGCCCAAGTGCTGTACACCCACCCTTCCTACTCTACAGATACAGATCCCACAACGAGGTGTTCCCTGAATACTTTATGGATTTTCAAGCACTTCTAAAGTGAAATTATCCATTTCATGAACAGATAGTTGTATATAAGTATGTACATTTCATGTTTGGTTTCGAGGAAAACAAACTATTACAAACAACATCAGATTTGACCAAAATTCCTTTCTCAACTGTACGTAAAATAGTCAAAAACGAACCTTATGAACGCAAAACGCGATGTGATACAGGATTACCAAAACCTTCAGATGTTCATCTGATGAAATAATTGTTACAAAACTGTTACAAAAGCAATGACATTCCTACAACTAAAATCATAAGGAAGAAATTGAATACTTCCGGCCATAACGTGAGCTGCTGTGACAAAACTCTTCAGATTGGATGAAGAAACTAGGTTTAAGATTTGAAATAATGAACAAACGTCAAGCAGAATAATAGTGGAACAAATACTTAGAACAAATAACCAAATATAGACAAGAACAACGGCAAATTTACTATTTGGACTCACGACACAGTCACGAAAGGGTGGACTAATGGTTCGAGAATATGTACGCTAAACATGCCTGCAAACAAAGGATCGCGACTAATCATTGTGCATTGCGTAAGAAGTAAAGGATGGGTTCCGAATTCTTTGAAATTATGTGATTCCTAACATGAGTAGCAGATAGAAATCGATCGTTCAGCCTACGGCTTGAACCACCGACTCACACATCGGTCGATTGAGTGAGTGAACAAAGCACCCACATCGGTCGAACCGACCGGCTACCGACCAACCTTCATTACAATACTTTAAAGAGAAAAATAATGAACTAACCTGGTATCCACTTTCATTGGTGACGTCAACGCCGGGCCTGATGACTTTTTCTCCTACTATGAACGAACTGTGAACCATGTATCTCACAGGAGTGCTCGCTAAACTTGGTGGTAGAGGATCCTTCGCTTGTCGTAAAAATGTATAGGATGACATTCGTTCTGAAAAGGAGTTCGATAAACCCAGAAATAGAATATAACTTATGGGAAAGAGCCTCAAAGTAGTTTTTAAGGATCATGAAACAAAATCTGGCCACTGTTCAAATGAACTGTGAAAAAACTATTTTCTTTCTAAAGCCAGGAAAAGCTCAAAGTCCAACCAAATTATATCTGTCAAAAAGTTTATCTACTTTTGCAAAGAGTCAAAATCATGTACTAATTTTACACACAATAACTGGCTGTGATACGACGTCTGCATTTTACAGAAGGCGTAAAGCAACAGTCTTTAAAATGTTTGAAAAACAAGATTTACCACCAACAAGAAGTATACAAAATGAAACTTGACTGAATACTTACCGAAAGAGTTAGGTAAATAACTGTATCCATTGGACTTGAGTATCTGAACACAGGTGTTTGCCAAAAAAGCAACTAACAATAAAATCGTAAAAGTTATTACAGCTACAAGACTAGAATCTCTTTGAAGCAAATGCTTGTGTTTGTTGTGTGATGCTATTTGCATTGTCGCTGCGCCCAGCAAACCCCAAGTAAGAAAGGTTTCTTGACCAGCTGCTAACCAACTCTGGAAAAAAGACATTTATCAATTGTTTCAAAAGTATTCAAAATATATAGCAATTGATACAATTTGCTCGTATGCCTTGGAGTAGGTACTCGACAAAATAACAAAATAGTGAGAAGCCTTGAACAGCTGATACTACTTCAGCAAAATCGCTTCACCATGATATCTGGACAGGCTAGAGTCTAAAAAGAGTGAACCACCTTCAGGAGAAGTGTATTTTAGGGCGATTTCATCAGTTCCCTTTTTTTCTACATCTCACTAATGCCATCGCCGTTGCGCCCAAAAATTTTCGAAAGTATAACTGTGGCACCTCCGGAAACTGGAGACATAAGGTCACCCATTTATTTTATATGGATGAACTCAAACGTCATTGTCTTTGGAGAAGATATTACCCATCAATCCTTGAAGGTGGTGGAGGGATAGATAAATTTGCAACGGTCCAGCTCAAAAGAGGACGATGCTGTGATAACGGAGAGGATGTGCAGCTCGTACATAGAAACATTCTGCACAAAACTTCACGTCTCTGGGAAATATGATCTCCATCAGTTCTTGAAGATGGTGCTGTATGCCAAAGAGACGTACACTTTCCTCGGGATGGAACAATGGCATTGATCAGAGGTAATATCAGTGGAAAACTCACTCCACGGCGAGTATCAGCACAAACTCTGAGAGATTTGGTCACTGGAACTGTTGGGAAACAACAAAGTTGCTGCTACGAATATGATCACCGTTACGATCTTACTCTACTCGTTTGGAGAAGCGAAGTGAACTCGGCAGGAGTTGTATCAACTTAACGTGAAAAAATCCCAAATTGTCCCTTCCACGGCTGAACTTCCCCGACAAGAGTGAGGCCGTGGACTTTTGAGTTTGGAATTTATACATGACATAATGGTACGAAATAGTGTCTGTTAAGTCTGTTAAGTGTTAAGTGTCTGTTAAGTCCTTGCATGGCCTGTCATTATAAGAGAGCACGAATTGGACCATTTTCCTTCAAGGTAGCTGATGGGGTCAGTTTAGTTTTCGACGCTGGACGAGGTGATAATAATTTTGTCACCTAGTTGGCAATCCTTCATCAAAAAGCTCACATAAACGTTGCAGAGATCATTTCACTCCTTCGGTAACACAAGGATAGGTCAAATAGTCTTCTTCAACAACATTGAAGATTTCGGTTTATCAAAGAATACGACCTTCGCTTTCCTCAGATCGAGTAGGCTGAAATCGGATACTGATCCTTCCGAGAAGTTGTCCTCTTAGGTCATCGTCCATCCTGTCCTTTTCAGGAAGGTGGACAGATCAGCAAAAGCGGTCTCAACCTATATCTGGGGAATGAGGAGTGCCAAATTTTTTGGAACTAGTCACTTCTCATTCTCAGGCTCATACAAGCTAATACGCCTGATGTAGAACTTATCGACCATCAAAGCAAAACAATATTTGCGGTAGAGTTTTCAGCTTCGGATGAGACAAATATTGTTCTGAGAGAGGAGGAAAATGAATGAAATATCGAGATTTTTTGTTCCAACTCTACACACCAGTCTGTTAAGATAGTTCTTCTGATTTTTGGAGTTCATGGTGGACTGATGTCCTTTCTACGGCTCGCCGAACTAAGGCAGACTTTTTGGCGCCGGACACTTACAGAAGGCTGCAATTCTTGGGTAATTGCGCTGGGGGGACCTTGGGGACAGTGTTGGACCTGCCTAACCTTCGGGAAAATAAATTAACGGAATTTCAATTTCCTATTTGTTTCTCATAAATAAACTGAAAAATCCTTACGAAGATAATTTTGTAGTAAGGTTATGTCATTTAAAAATGCATTAGCGACGCAGTATGCGATTTATTGAAAAAAATTCGTAATTCTCTATTTAAATATTCGTAACAGGTTTTCAAGTACCACCGGAAGTTGGTAATATCATAAGTTTGATTCTTATATAGAGAATATACAGAATGGTTCTGGGAAATACGTATTAGAGTTGAGTGATTCCAGAAAACCTAGTTTGGTGATTCTTTGAAGCTGTAAGTTTTCAAAATTGTAGACACTTCCCAAATTTCAATAGCTGATTGAACTAGAGACTAAGTATGAAATAATTGTTTGGTCAGCGACTCAAATATATCCAAAATTCATACTGAATGTGTGTAACATATGAAAGACAATCTTTTGTCGATTTTTACTTCAGAAAACAATATTAATGAAAGCTTGAGATCTTGAAGCATTCATGATAGTATAGAAAAGCAACAGTTCTTAAGTTATTTGAAAGATTTTCGTCTATCGTTAGATATAGGCTGAACCTAACTTTCAACAATGAAGAAAAACCCACTTCTTATAAGATTTCCAAAACACTGATGTTAGTTCACTGGCAACGATAGCTATTTCGTCAGATGGAGAAGCTTTGTTGGCATTTCACTGTTTCAGCTTCACCTCGGCATTAAAATGCTAATAGTAAGTATGTTACTTCTCTGCCTCTTTGAACAAATAACTATTTATTGTAGTTATTTCCTTTATTTCATTTTTGTTTGTAGTTTCTCTTNTGCTGTACTTCCCCGACAAGAGTGAGGCCGTGGACTTTTGAGTTTGGAATTTCTACATGACATAATGGTACGAAATAGTGTCTGTTAAGTCTGTTAAGTGTTAAGTGTCTGTTAAGTCCTTGCATGGCCTGTCATTATAAGAGAGCACGAATTGGACCATTTTCCTTCAAGGTAGCTGATGGGGTCAGTTTAGTTTTCGACGCTGGACGAGGTGATAATAATTTTGTCACCTAGTTGGCAATCCTTCATCAAAAAGCTCACATAAACGTTGCAGAGATCATTTCACTCCTTCGGTAACACAAGGATAGGTCAAATAGTCTTCTTCAACAACATTGAAGATTTCGGTTTATCAAAGAATACGACCTTCGCTTTCCTCAGATCGAGTAGGCTGAAATTGGATACTGAGGGGTTCATCAAGGTCTGCTAGGATTGTATCTTCGAAATCTCAGTCTACCTACCACCACGTGAAGGGCCTATCACGAAAAGCCTGAGACCGTAATTTACCTTATCTGTATCTGTAGAGTAGGGAGGGTGCGTGTAAGCCTACATCACTTAGGCCACATGTGACCCATTGTACATCCTCCCAAGAAGTTGTCCTCCTACGTCATCATCAATCCTATCCTTTCCAGGAAGGTGGACAGGTCACTTGGATACATCTCCTTTATATCGACAGGTGTACGCCAAGATTCACCGAACACACTCTCTCTTATTGACGATAACTCCGGATACTCGCATAGGACATGCCTGACAATCCTGCTCACACATCCTGCATAGAGATGTGTCCACTAGCCCCATATCATGAAGGTGTTTACTTAGTTGACAATGGCCAGTCAGAAATCCTACTGTTAAGCATAGATTTTGTCTGGTCATCGCCAGATATTTTTTCGGTGGCAGCTTCCCAGGATCGCCCAGGGTGATCCTGGCAAGATTGCATCTTTTGATTCCATTTTATCTCTTTAGGGATTGAGCATAGGTGTGACGTTTGGCTAGTTCCGCAATTATCGAAGTCATCAGGCCGTAGGTGTCACTGGGTCATGGAATTCTTAGTCCAGCCGCTTCCTTGACTAAAGAGTCGGCAATGCGATTACCTTTACTCCTGTCGTGCCCTTTAACCCACCTCAGGATAATGTTATTATCTACCGAGGCTTTGGCTAAATCTTGGTGGCACTCTAGTACTAGCGCTGTGGTTATACGTTGTCTATTCAAGGCTAATAGGGCTTGTCTGCTGTCAGTGCAGATTGTTATGTTTTTGCCAGGAATTCCTTTCCTTGTTTTTTTTTGTGGCAATTGAGATACCAGCCAGTTCTGTTTGGACCACGCTGATATATTTTCCCATTCTCCACTTAATCCTTAGACTTAGTGATCTGGAGTACACTCCACATCCTGAGCCTTTTTTGGTCTTTGAGCCGTCTGTATATATGGATATTGCATCTGTAGCATCTGACTCTGTGTTCTGTTTTATTTGTAATTTGTAGGGTTTATTAAACACAAACCTGGGTTCAATGGCATCGATAGTTGCCTGCAGCAGATGTTGTATAGTACGCGCTTCTCGCCAGAGGCTAAGCCTCAATTGACCCATTTCTACTTCGAGACCATTGACGCAACCTCCTTAACGTACAGGTCCAGAGGGGTCAGACCCGTAATTATCTCCATTGTCGCGGTTGGTGTTGTTCTCATGGCTCCTGTGATGTTCAAACAAGCCAGTCGCATGTCAGAATGTCATCGTCATTTCATCCAGGTTTGGAGACCAGCTCCCCTACCCTTTTGGCTGATTGTTGGTCTTGAGAGGGACCAATGGGTTCATGACTGAATTGGTGACGGCATGAAGTCCTTAGACATCAGTGCCGCCCTTCACGGGATAAAGCCAGTCGCATGTCCAGCAAAAGCGGTCTCAACCTATATCTGGGGAATGAGAAGTGCCAAATTTTTTGAAACTGGTAACTTTTCATTCTCAGGATCATACAAGCTAATAAGCCTGATGTAGAACTTATCGACCATCAAAGCAAAACAATATTTGCGGTAGAGTTTTCAGCTTCGGATGAGACAAATATTGTTCTGAGAGAGGAGGAAAATGAATGAAATATCGAGATTTTTTGTTCCAACTCTACACACCAGTCTGTTAAGATAGTTCTTCTGATTTTTGGAGTTCATGGTGGACTGATGTCCTTTCTACGGCTCGCCGAACTAAGGCAGACTTTTTGGCGCCGGACACTTACAGAAGGCTGCAATTCTTGGGTAATTGCGCTGGGGGGACCTTGGGGACAGTGTTGGACCAGCCTAACCTTCGGGAAAATAAATTAACGGAATTTCAATTTCCTATTTGTTTCTCATAAATAAACTGAAAAATCCTTACGAAGATAATTTTGTAGTAAGGTTATGTCATTTAAAAATGCATTAGCGACGCAGTATGCGATTTATTGAAAAAAATTCGTAATTCTCTATTTGAATATTCGTAACAGGTTTTCAAGTACCACCGGAAGTTGGTAATATCATAAGTTTGATTCTTATATAGAGAATATACAGAATGGTTCTGGGAAATACGTATTAGAGTTGAGTGATTCCAGAAAACCTAGTTTGGTGATTCTTTGAAGCTGTAGGTTTTCAAAATTGTAGACACTTCCCAAATTTCAATAGCTGATTGAACTAGAGACTAAGTATGAAATAATTGTTTGGTCAGCGACTCAAATATATCCAAAATTCATACTGAATGTGTGTAACATATGAAAGACAATCTTTTGTCGATTTTTACTTCAGAAAACAATATTAATGAAAGCTTGAGATCTTGAAGCATTCATGATAGTATAGAAAAGCAACAGTTCTTAAGTTATTTGGAAGATTTTCGTCTGTCGTTAGATATAGGCTGAACCTAACTTTCAACAATGAAGAAAAACCCACTTCTTATAACACTGATGTTAGTTCACTGGCAACGATAGCTATTTCGTCAGATGGAGAAGCTTTGTTGGCATTTCACTGTTTCAGCTTCACCTCGGCATTAAAATGCTAATAGTAAGTATGTTACTTCTCTGCCTCTTTGAACAAATAACTATTTATTGTAGTTATTTCCTTTATTTCATTTTTGTTTGTAGTTTCTCTTATTTTTTCGGTTACATTTTTTTGTCGATATATTATATTATCAATGATGAATGTTTACAAAAATTTCATCAAAGCGTGTTTCGCTACACGGTGGCTCCATCAGTTAAACTGACACTCGCTATATTTCTTACCTTGGGGTTCAGAAAAAACTCCCCCCAGGAAGTCTCCGGGAAGATTACGTTGACGTACTTCGGCGGCATTATCCCCAATATTTTCGCGCACAAAATGAATGTTCCGAAGACTGGAAGCAGCGTGAAGGCATAGACGACCTTTCCGTAAGACCTCAGCCCTTTACTGAGCGACACGAAAACGATCATCCACACGACGGCCAGATTGAAGGCCAATTGAAATTTGATGGTTGCATAAGCGTTTCCAGTTGGTAAGTGATGTCTTTGTAGAACCACGCCGTTGAAGTAGTCCGGCAGGGTTTCTTCGAGTTTGATGGTTTCGTTGCTCGGTGGAAGATCTGGAAATGATTATAATTATGTCAAACATACAATAAATACACGTAGAAAAAATGATTTGGAAGTAGCCTGAAGAATTGTATTCAATTCGGGTATGAATGTGGGCTTGTTCTCAGTTGTTCAACAGTAACTCAAAAACTAAACAATTTCACTGAAAAATGTGGAGTGGTTTTTACGCAAATTAGCGAAATAAAACTGAAACATCAAGTTCCGTTGAACTTTACTTTGAGAGGAAAATCCGAGAAAAATATTTTCCTGCTGTTGGGCGAATTTCAATGAAACGTTCACAAAATTTAGGAAGAATTTTGAATAGCTTCTTTGATGTTATGTCTCTATAATCAGTTTTCATTATGAATGTTTTACCAGAAACCAATAAAAATGTTTTTTTTTTCAAATTGCAGTTGGAAAATTTAGTTTATTTTTTCATACTACTCAACAAATTCAAATGAATCAGTTTTTAAATTATATTTGAGAAACTATTTAACCTGAAAATGAGGAATAAAAAATAATTCGAACCTAATCTGAGATTGTGTTCAACATCGATGTCGACCTTATGGATTGATGTAACTAATGACTATTAATAAGTCTAAAATGAAAAAAATCTATTTACAAAAAAAAAAGATTTTCTTAAAGAGGGTGGGATGCCTCAAATTGTATTTTTATTATGGCTCCAATCGGGCATACACCTCCTAAACAAAAATTTATAACAATACCACGGTTTTTACAACAAAATTATTTTTGTTATGAATAGATTTATTTTTATTTCACACTTATTGAAAGTCATTAGTTACATCGAACCATAGGACTTATCGATGTTGAACACAATCTTTGTTTTCAGTTTTTTCAACAAAGGTGGTGATCTCAGTTATCCTTCAAACTTCCGTCCTTTATGTCTCATTCCCACTCTAGGCAAACTAATAGAGAAACTGGTTAAACTAAGATTGACAATTTTTTTAAATAGTAACAGTGTCATAAGCAATAACCAGTTCGGCTTTCAATCAAAAAAGAACACTCATGATGCTATCTTTTCTTTGTTATATGACGTGTATGGAAACATTAATAAAAAAGAGTCATCAGCAGCACTGTTCTGTGACTTTGCTGAAGCCTTTGACTGTATAGATCATGGAATACTGCTGAAAAAACTATATCACTATGGCATCTGTGGAGTTACTCGTAAGTGGTTCGAGAATTACCTCACAGGATGAGGTGAAAACCTCATCATTCTCATCAGAAGGCGAAATAAAAAAGCGTGCCACAAGGTTTAATACTGGGACCGATACTTTTTCTGTTATACATAAACGATTTAGCATCTATCGATATAGAAGAAAAACGTATCCTATTCGCCGATGGCACCACAATATTATGGCGTGATACAATTTTATGTAATATCCACTTCACGAGACTATAAGTGCAAATATAAAAAAATGAAAAAGTGATGCGACTCTAATCTGCTGTCGTTCAATGTTTCCAAAACAAATTTAATATCATTCCGCTGCTTTATTGACAGCAACACAGGCATCTATACACTGCAGTACATTTTCAAAAACCTACTCTACATGCTTTATTCACTTATAGTTGAAACATTACACTCACCATGTCTATAATGCGAAAATGACTCCGCCCACCGATAAGTATCCAACTTGGTGATGAAGGAGTCCCGAAAAAACACGAACAACCACGACACTCCTATCACACTGTACAGCCCCATAAGTGCCTGTGCGATCAGTAGCGACACCCCGACTCCCTGAAAAAGCGGCGATATCCTCCACATGTCGATTACACCCGCTCCGAGTTGCTGCCCCAGGCACAGCTGGAGGGTGAATAAGGGCAGGCCGAAAACCACTGATAAGAAACAGAACTGGAAGATGAAGTTGGCACCGAAGTGGATAGAGAGGATGGAGAAGCGGGAGATATTGAAGAGGCCCAAAGTGCACGACAGACACGCCATCATCGAGCTCAGACTATGCGGCCAATGACCCAAAGGGCTCTCGACTTCTGGCATGTCGGTTTGTCGATTTCGGTCACATGATCTGAAAATGAAACTGGGTTTAAGAAAGTGCATAACGAAGAATTATGTATGATAACAAATTTTATAAAATCAAACTGTCTACACATAGTAAATGTATCAATACCTAATAATAGGTATGCACAAATTCAGATCAAAACGTATACGTATTCTGGAAAGAACTATTACATATTTGGTGTGTGTAGTACACTGAGATTTGTTATTTTGTATGAGAAAATTCTAAGTGGTTTTTTTAAAATAACACCCTCTTTAGCAGTGGCTATAGCAGGAATAATGAAATCATCTACAGTTGATCTTCGTGGCAATGAATATTTTGGCTTGGAAACCGTTCTTCCAAAAACTGTCTCACCCGAACATCAAAATGTGGAGGTGCACCATTCTGTTGGAATGTTATTTCACTTTCTACAAAATTATCATCCGTTTCTGAAATTTATGTCATCATAGGATCTCCACAGTCTTGTAATAGATTTGTGTATGTGTCTCCATTGTGATTACCTTCAATGAAGGATGGTCCAACAATATGATTACCAGAAATGTCGGCCCAGACATTCAATTTTTGTGGAGTTTGTGTATGTGTTTCCATCACCAAATGAGGATTCACATCGTTCCAGTAACGACAATTATGACTATTCACTTCACCGTTCAACACGAAAGAACTTTCGTTTGAAAAACATGTATTGTGTAATAGGTTTGGGCTATTGGTCAATTTCTCGCTGAACACCTCACAAAACTGAAGTCGAGGATCAGGATCATCTTCGTTTAATTCCTGAAGTAGATTAATTTCAAAAGGATGGCACTTGTAGGCTTTCCAAATCCTAAAAACACTAGTAGTTGATATACCAGACGCTCCTCTAGCTACATGTCTGATATATTGTCAATTATCCATTTGTACATGTCCTAAAACTGCAACTTCAACTTCGTCATTTCTGACAGGACGGGATACTTCATGTTTTCTGTTGTGAACAGCTGAAGTTCGAAACTCATTCATCAACTGTTTAACGTATTGATGGCTCACGTTGTGGTCTGGATGATTCTTATTATAAAGTCTTGCAGCAGCTTCAACACATCCATTATTTCTATAATAGGTTGCAACAATTTTTTTCTTTCTTCAGTAGAATAAACCATGTTGGAATACAGTGAACAAGGATGACTGAATAATAATTCGTGAAGAAGTGACAGTGAACAACTACCTACTGTTTGTTCTGCGANTTATTCAATTGTTCTATTTTTACTTGTATTTTATTTCACTATTATTTCATTTCAGGTTTATTTTGGTTAATATAATTGTTATTTTCAGCTATTCATTTTCAATTCTTCTTTTTTAGTTGTTTCAGGGATTTCAAATCATTTTCTATAGTAGAGAATGGAAGTCCGAACTAGTGAAATTCACGAAGAAACTACTTTTCGAGTCCTGAAGAAGAATTTAATTAGATTCGAAACTTCGGCAAAAACAATTGTTTTTTTAAAAAGAAATAGATCCTGTTACCTAATTCACTTTTCTTCAGAATTATTGATGAAAACCACTATAAAGTTCGGTAGCATTCAAAGGACAAAACTGAAATGATTTAAGACTTCCCAATTCCATTCTGCTTTCATTTTTATCATTCCAGGAAGTACCTAGATTTTACTTTGCAGCTCCATAAATTCGCTTAAAATCGATCTTGACCAATCCATATTTGTGTGCCAAGTTCATAATAACGCAACATTTCCTGCATACTATTGGCCTCGTTTTCAACACTGCTTCAGATTAGCATGCCAATCGTAGTAAACAGAACAAATTATATTTCAATTCGTTTTTCCTATTTGTTGCTTTACGGCAGTTCCATCTAGGACATTCGTTTATGCGGGTACACATGCTGGCAAGAGTCACGTAACTGCAGTTTGAATTATGTTTCGTTTCGCAAAAAAAACGAAGGCAACTAATATTACTACAGTAGATCAAGTGGCTGATCTCCTTTTTCAGACTGTGTCGTTCTGCAGTGGCAGTTGGCCTATAACTGGAAGTTATCTAGAAGTGATTTAATGATGAGAAAATAAACTAACACACTGTTCACAAACACATTAGTCTATTTCATCTTCTGAAGAGGCCAACTTGGTTTGACGAAATCAATTAGTGATAACAAGAATCATTTTAGTATGTGTTCGAACTGCCTCCCTTCACGTAGAATACACATATTGCAACATTTGTGATACTATTTTTCAAATCCTCTACATTTTGTGGACGTCGTATATAAACTAAGTCTTTGATATATCCCCGCAAAATGAAATCTAGTGGAGTAATACCTGGACTTCGAGCTGGCCACGGTATTGGACCCTTATTTCCAATCCATTTCTCATTAAAAGTATCATCCAAATATTGGGTAACTATTCTAT